AAGAGAAAAGAGCCATGAGGTGAACTGTAAATAGCGATTGGCATTGCATTTAAATTTTGCAGTTTAAAGTTGGCTGGAATGTATGGAACCGGAATGGAGTTCCAGAAGCGAGAAGTGCGAGAAAAGAAACTGTTAGCATAGAACTTTCGGTTACATCTAGCCAGGTCAAATGTCAATTTATGAGCTATCGACACCAGTCTAGTACTGCGCTTAAATTCATAAAGTCTAGGTACCATGTGTACTTAACCGTCTATTTAATCTACTGCAATAGACGATTCTCGTTTCACAGGTCATGTCTGGGGGATATAGTTTTGTTCTTATTTTATTTAGCACTGCATAGGAGGCCCGGTGGAATAATGGATAAGCGGTTCGGATTGAGGAATCGGAGAGTCGAATTCCGATCGAATCCATTACATTCACTTACGTGCTAATATCTTTAGGAAAGGTATGAATCCTCTTCTTCTCCTCCCCCTCCACCGCAACTATGGGTAAATCGCAGGACAGACCGGGTTCTGTAGCCTTGAATAGGATCTGGTATGGCAACCTACGCTCCGTCAGTTATGTATCGAAAGATACATGATCGCCTAAGCGTGTATCACGCATGGCACATAACTGACTGATTATTTAGTTATTGCTCGTTTCATAACATTAAGTTTTTCTTAAGCGTTGAAATTTATAAAATATATCTATTTTATTGTAAGAAAAATTGAATTTACCGTATTTGATGGCGTACAAGACGCATTTTTTTTCCACTAAAATTGTTTTAAAATTCGCATGCGTCTTATATGCTATATGTAGTTTTATAATTTTATTAATTACTATTTTTTTCTTGATTTGCCCTGCTCAAATTGGGATTCGTCTTATACACCCATGCGTCATATATGCCGTCAAATACGCTGCATTTATGGCTATTTCCGGTTTCGATGTTGGACTTCCTTCCTAATATTTTTTTTGAAGTAGCGTGAAACGTCAACATGCTGATTATGTCATAATTTTCTTTTCGAGTTACATGTGCTATCCATTTTAGTTGTTACGGCTGCTGAAAATCTTCAAGTGATGCTTTTTCTGGTAATTCGCACAGTTCTTTGTTTGTGATTCTGTAGCGACAGTTCGCAACGTCTGAAGGTATGACATCCGTATGAAAGTTTTGATTTGTTTGAGAGGCTATTTTAAGAAGATTACCCAAATTTTGAAAATGGTAGGAGGAAGTTAATGAAAGCTATATCACTGAGAATATTTCCGTTCCGGATAAAGAATAAAAATAGACTAAATAAGTCGAATAATATTATTATGAAGATTGTACGGTCCTTCAATAAATTTTATTCTCGTGTATGACGAATATATAAACTGGAAAAAAAAAGTAATAAAAAATTAAGCAGACAGACATTGTCGGCCATGTTCAATAAAACTTGTTTGAATGAAATCTTGCTGCTTTAGTGTATGATATATTATTGTGTCACAGTCTAAATACAAAGTAAAATATGCAAAAAGTAATTCACTTTTGGAAATCTATTGTCACCATCAATATTTACCCAAAGCACACTAACGCAGAACAGACACATCTGTGTTTGCATATAGATAAGGTTAATTTCGAGTGTTTCTCTATTGTAGCCATTTCAATACGTCTGTCTGTCTCTCCTCTTTTTTTTTTTTTCTATCTATCTATCTATCTCCCCTCCCTTTCTCTCTCTCTCTCTATATATATATATATATATATATATATATATATATATATATATATATATATATATATGACATTGGACTTGATTTGTATTTGTTCCCAGGTGTCGATGTATAGTTATTTGCATGTACTTCGCTTTAAATAAAAGTAGAAATTGAACGTATATTTAAACTAGCGATGATACTCGTCATTTAGAAGGCCGAGGGCCTTCTTGTTTGTTCTACGGCGCTATACTGTCGTTTGATTTAGAGATTTGCGCTTGCCGTAAAATGATCTTGACGAAACTGTCGTAACTGAAACTGGTTTGAATATGTTCGTAGTCGGTTAGTTTATATAAGGCATCGTATTGTAATTTATAATATTGTAAGTTTTGTAAGATATTCAAAATAAACTATTAAAATAGTCAACATTACTCCGTCAACATCGCTATGTCTGTCAACAATCTTACCCTTCCCTCAGCGACGTCAGCTCATTTTTTTTCTTTCTCTGTCTTCCTCTTCTTTGTAGGATGGCAGTGAAAAGATTATTGGCTCTTAAGCCGTGTTTTATACCATTTCAACTTTCGGTCCTTGAGGGTGGATATAAGATCTTCCAATGGAATTATATCATGTCTTATGACGTGTCCATAACATTTCAACTTTCTGTTCTTGAAGGAGGTTATACGGTCTTCCAATGGGCCTACTACATGTCTTATGATGTATCCATACCGTTTCAACTTTCTATGCTAGATATTGGTTATAAGATCTTCCAATGGGATTATATCATGACTTATGACGTGTCCATAACATTTCTTTCTGTGTGTGTATATATATATATATATATATATATATATATATATATATATATATATATATATATATATATAATTCCATGAATAACTACATTATTTAATTCTAGTGAAGTCCTTTTAAAAGACGAAATGCGTTATATAGAATTGTTTCCATTTTGTTATTTACTTAATAAGAGCCAATAAGTTAGGCAAGATATAAAACAGATGTTGGTAGTGGTAAAATAAAATAATATATTTACACTATCATATTTACATTGGACAGATTGTTGTCCTCGTCTTTGTTGCTATATTCACGACGTTTCAGCCATTGTAATCTCCAGGCTTCTTCAGGAGAAAGGAAATTTCAAATCGAGCCTTTTATTTCGCCCACCAGGGTAGATTATTTTAGTTCCACGTGTCATGCCTCTCCCGGATATTCCAGTATCAGCTATCTCACCTTAACTCAACTCTGCAAGTTTTTTGTTCATTTCTGCTGTAGCTAGGTACTGAATTCACAACTGTTTGGATCAAGTCACTGGATTAAACCAACAATTTATCCACTGGGCCATGTCTTTGAAGACCAGTACAGGAATATGGAAACGAAGATTAGGACAATCCGAACAATGTAAATAGTATAAATAAACACAATACATTATCTCAAAACTATAGACAGGTATTAAAATTATATATATATGTGTGTGTGTGTTTGCGCGAATATTCATGTATACTTTTAGAGTTTGTGGAGGGACAGTGGCGTAATGGATAGCGACTGTTCGGGTTCAGGAATGGGAGAGCTGAGTTCGAATTCCAGTCGAGTTCGTTATATTAGCATAAATGGACGACAATGACAGAACAAGTCTTATAAAAAAAAAGACAAGATTAAAAGCTACAAAGGATAAGATGTTGTGGAGAGCCTTGATCGCCAGTATCTTGAAATGATACAGTGTATAGAAACAGAAGCTATCGGCTGCCTTATATAAGCTGTAGGTTAACTTGTCGCAGCTGGATTCTGGATAATTGATAGCTTAATAATATTTCTATTGTTTAATATTTTTGATCTTTGTTTCTTATCTATCTAATATTAGGTGTCTTTCGTTTTTACTTTCGTCAGCTGTGATCAACCCACGGTAAAAGATATTTTACTTCGTCGGATTTTTGCAGATGATTAAGTCCTTGAACTTGACGCATTCTCTTTCACGGCAGAACTCGACAAGTATTCAGAACAAAGCAATCTTGATCAAGGTCAGAAGTTTTACTTTCAGCCTCGGAAGTATAAATACATACGCTCGGCACACATTCAAGAATATTGAATTGTTGGAATACCGAGCAAATTTGTATGACAATAATCCTATTGTCACCCCCGTAAATACCCACCCCTGCTAATCCACACCTTTACAAGAGCCAGACCAGCCCGAAAATGAATTAACTACATCTGTACTGGCACTGCTCAGTCTTCACGTTCAAGTCTTGATAGCATGACAAAAGCGTTTAAGCGTCCTTTTGGATATTGAACTATTTTCCACGCTACAACCACCTTCACACGAACGAAACTTTGCTTATCTCTTGCTACTCTATATTTTTGAAAATCATTTCACGCCAAACAAGGTGGAAATGCCACAAGTACTCGGTGGGGGTGGGATACAGGGAGTGAAAGTGAAAGGAACCCTGAGATTAGGAAGGATTTAGGAAAGGGCAGAAGATGAAGGGGATTCAAGAAGATAACAGATGGCGATTGACGTTACATTTAGATTTTTGGAGATTCTTGTTATCAGAGAAGCAAGTAAACGGGAAGGAGTCGCACAAGCAGGAAGTGCGAGAAAAGAGACTGTCGGAGTAGAATTGGCGGTTGCAGCTAGCTATTTCAATAGTAAACGGATGTCCATGTAGTAGCGCGCTTAAATTCATGTAATCGGTGTACCAGGGTGAAAGAAAAGCTCGCCAGAACAGTTGCCATGAAAATATTTGGAGAAGAAAACGGAGGGGAGCCACGCCAGGTCGGTGAGAAAGTGACTGAAGTCGAGATGCCACGTCAGGATCAATTTCATTACTCATCTTTGGATTTTGTCAAGAAATTCGAGATGTATCGCAGGAGCACCAGACCGGATATGGCTGCAGTATTCAATACACGGACAGATTTGGAAATGTACAAGATGGAAACTGACGAGAGTAAATTTCTGGCTATAGAAAACTTTCAGAATAGCTATATTGCTTAGATCCACCAAGTCTAACCCTCACATCTAAGATCTTTCACGCCATTCTCATTCAGTTTCTATTCCATAATGGAGAAGATCTCCTCGAATAACAACTTCTCACGAACCGCTACCTTGTGGAAGCGATTCTTATAAGGACGCTATCCTGATTATTACAATCAATATTTTCAAGGCGTAACCGCTTTCTTTTCCTAGGTATCCTCCTAAACTGTGCATCCATATTGAATTCAGATAGAATCGCAAACAATTGTCACGACTGTGGGAAGTAGATTTTTACATTAAAGATGAGTGAGTGTTCAAATAATGTTATGTATGTTAATGGCTATTATCAACTTGCCAGACTGTTCTATCTATCTATCTATCTCGGTCTGTTCTATCTATCGATCTATCTCGGTCTGTTCTATCTATCTATCTATCTCGGTCTGTTCTATCTATCTATCTATCGGTCTGTTCTATCTATCTATCTATCTATCTCGGTCTGTTCTATCTATCTATCTATCTATCTCGGTCTGTTCTATCTATCTATCTATCTATCTATCTCGGTCTGTTGTTTCTTTCTATCTATCTATCTCGGTCTGTTGTTTCTTTCTATCTATCTATCTCGGTCTGTTGTTTCTTTCTATCTATCTATCTCGGTCTGTTGTTTCTTTCTATCTATCTATCTCGGTCTGTTGTTTCTTTCTCATCTATCTATCGGTCTGTTGTTTCTTTCTATCTATCTATCTCGGTCTGTTGTTTCTTTCTATCTATCTATCTCGGTCTGTTGTTTTCTATCTATCTATCTCGGTCTGTTGTTTTTTCTATCTATCTATCTCGGTCTGTTGTTTCTTATCATCTATCTATCTCGGTCTGTTGTTTCTTTCTATCTATCTATCTCGGTCTATCTATCTCGGTCTGTTGTTTCGGTATCTATCTATCCGGTCGGTCTGTTGTTTCTTTCTATCTATCTATCTCGGTCTGTTGTTTCTTTATCTATCTATCTCGGTCTGTTGTTTCTATCTATCTATCTCGGTCTGTTGTTTCTTTCATTCATCTATCTCGGTCTGTTGTTTCTTCTATCTATCTATCTCGGTCTGTTGTTTCTTTCATCTATCTATCTCGGTCTGTTGTTTCTTTCATCTATCTATCTCGGTCTGTTTCTTTTCTATCTATCTATCTCGGTCTGTTGTTTCTTTCTATCTATCTATCTCGGTCTGTTGTTTCTTTCTATCTATCTATCTCGGTCTGTTGTTTCTTTTTCTATCTATCTATCTCGGTCTGTTGTTTTTCTATTCATCTATCTCGGTCTGTTGTTTCTTTCTATCTATCTATCTCGGTCTGTTGTTTCTTTTTCTATCTATCTATCTCGGTCTGTTGTTTCTTTCTATCTATCTATCTCGGTCTGTTGTTTCTTTCTATCTATATCTATCTCGGTCTGTTGTTTCTTTCTCATCTATCTATCTCGGTCTGTTGTTTCTATCTATCTATCTCGGTCTGTTGTTTCTTTCTATCTATCTATCTCGGTCTGTTGTTTCTTTTATCTATCTATCTGGTCTGGTTTCTTTCTATCTATCTATCTCGGTCTGTTGTTTCTTTCTATCTATCTATCTCGGTCTGTTGTTTCTTTCTATCTATCTATCTCGGTCTGTTGTTTTTTTATCTATCTATCTCGGTCTGTTGTTTCTTTATCATCTATCTCGGTCTGTTGTTTCTTTCTATCTATCTATCTCGGTCTGTTGTTTCTTTCTATCTATCTATCGGTCTGTTGTTTCTTTCATCTATCTATCTCGGTCTGTTGTTTCTTTCTATCTATCTATCTCGGTCTGTTGTTTCTTTCTATCTATCTATCTCGGTCTGTTGTTTTTTCTATCTATCTATCTCGGTCTGTTGTTTCTTCTTTCTATCTATCTATCTCGGTCTGTTGTTTCTTTCTTTCATATCTCGGTCTGTTGTTCTATCTATCTATCTCGGTCTGTTGTTTCTTTCTATCTATCTATCTCGGTCTGTTGTTTCTTTCATCTATCTATCTCGGTCTGTTGTTTCTTTCATCATCTATCTCGGTCTGTTGTTTCTTTCATTCATCTATATCTCGGTCTGTTGTTTCTTTCTATCTATCTATCTCGGTCTGTTGTTTCTTTCTATCTATCTATCTCGGTCTGTTGTTTCTTTCATCTATCTATCTCGGTCTGTTGTTTCTTTTTATCTATCTATCTCTATCTGTTGTTTGTTCATATCTATCTATCTATCTATCTATCTATATCTCTGTTGTTTTCTTTCATTATCTATCTCGGTCTGTTGTTTCTTTATCTATCTATCTCGGTCTGTTGTTTCTTTTCTATCTATCTATCTCGGTCTGTTTTCTATCTATCTATCTCGGTCTGTTGTTTCTTTCATCTATCTATCTCGGTCTGTTGTTTCTTTCTATCTATCTATCTCGGTCTGTTGTTTCTTTCATCTATCTATCTCGGTCTGTTGTTTCTTTCTATCTATCTATCTCGGTCTGTTGTTTCTTTCTCATCTATCTATCTCTATCTCGGTCTGTTGTTTCTTCTATCTATCTATCTCGGTCTGTTGTTTCTTTCATCTATCTATCTCGGTCTGTTGTTTCTTTCTATCTATCTATCTCGGTCTGTTGTTTCTTTCTATCTATCTATCTCGGTCTGTTGTTTCTTTCTATCTATCTCGGTCTGTTGTTTTTTCATATCTATCTATCTCGGTCTGTTGTTTCTTTCTATCTATCTATCTCGGTCTGTTGTTTCTTTCTATCTATCTATCTCGGTCTGTTGTTTCTTTCTATCTATCTATCTCGGTCTGTTGTTTCTTTCTATCTATCTATCTCGGTCTGTTGTTTCTTTCTATCTATCTATCTCGGTCTGTTTTTTTCTATCTATCTATCTATCTATCTATCTATCTATCTCGGTCTGTTGTTTCTTTCTATCTATCTATCTATCTCGGTCTGTTGTTTCTTTCTATCTATCTATCTATCTCGGTCTGTTGTTTCTTTCTATCTATCTATCTATCTCGGTCTGTTGTTTCTTTCTATCTATCTATCTATCTATCTATCTATATATATATAGGTATGTTCTATCTATCTATCTATCTATCTAATCTCTTATCTATTTCAATCCTTTAAAATATATTTATTCGTTTATGTGTGTATACCTTAATATATATTCTATATAGGTTCTTTGCGATTTATACGCGCACACACGGATTATTAATAATATGTACATTAATGCAATTCAAGTGAAAATTTAACACAGACATATCGAGTAAATCTTATGGTGTGTTTATTCTGTCTCCAGATAGTCTTCTTTTATAAAATATAGTAAAATTTAGGTGAATTGATTAAAAACATGGAGCCTGACAAAACATGGTGTCTGAATTGTATATACAAATATCCGTACGCACTCTTAACAAACACACGCACGTACGCCTACATATGACAATATATGTAAACATTATATTAAAAAGTGTTGTATTAAAAACAACGGAAGTTCGTTGTTAGTTATTTTTTTTTAACTTTTTCGCACATCGACAACCATTACAATGAAATAACGCAAGAAATCCGACAGACTCTTAAATTCAAAACTTTTATACCATATAAATCATAAAAAAATGACTGCAAACACTGGAAGAAATAAGCATAAAAAAAACTAACATGGTATTAATAAAATTTGCTTTAATTTAGGTAGATATATTAAATAAGTGTAATAAAAAGGATGCACCACAAACACATGATGGCGTGACATTGAGACTAACAAAAATAATGTAACGCACAAAGAAATTTAAAAAAGACTCTTTAAAAACTATATATTTTTTTAATAAAACAGTATTTTTAAATAGAGAAGTGGTGATAAAATCGGAAAACTTAGAATTCGCACAATATTTATACAGCTTCAGTTCTAAAGGCAAACACAAACTAAAAGAAAAAGGAATTTAAAATACAAAAGAAAACATATTAACCAACTTTATATATATATATATATATATATATATATATATATATATATATATATATAATGATAGGGATGGTACACATGGAATAACATTCCAATAACCAAAAACACTATTCTTTAAAGAGTGATCAGTACCAGATAGAGCTAATAATGTTTATTCAAATTCACTAAAATTTGAAATTTAGTTTCAATACTGCTGGTGTCTTAACAAATAATCAATTGATTAGACTCTAGCAGAGTTGAAACACAACTGCAACTTTTGTAGTGAACTTATAACATGTATATGTTAAAACTTTGAATATATTTGTGGCCGAGCGGTTAGGCACATCAAGCTAAATGACGTTTCCGTATAGGATGCAGGTTCGAATCCTGTCAAAGGACGAATATTTTCTATGAAAATTTCTCGGACATTCAGGCCGGTAAATGTTATTTGATACTGTTTGTTATAAACAGAGCATTTACTTACATATTTGTATCTATAAAAAGAATGTTAAACATAAAAATGTTTTTAAATAATTGTCGGACTTTGTCTATTTCATAATATATATATTTATATATATACCTGGCATATATATATATGACATTTTAATTTTTTATAAAAGTTTTTTGAAACTAGTTATTCGTTTAATCAAGATTTTTCTTAATGAATACACATCTTAAGATTTATTGATTATCTGGAAAAAAAAAGTGACATATTTTCTTAATATATTTTTCGGTGTTCACTTACCTTCGCAGCAATGTATAAATATACATGCATACATTCACACACACACACAACACATATATATATATATATATATATATATATATATATATATATATATATATATATATATATATATATATATATATATTCAGTCGAATCCATTACGTGCTAACCTTGGGAAAGGTGTGAATCCTCTTCTTCTCCCTCCAGCTATGGGTAAATAGCAGGACAGACTGGGTTCTATAGCCTTGGATGGCAACTGGTGTAGGGAGAAGGACAACTCTGAATGCAAAACATGCGAAGTGTCTCTGTATTCGGCTCTTCAAAAAGTGTGGATGGTCCTGCCCGAAACCTTCACCACTATAATCAAATCTCATGTGCTGTTGTCGGTTTCCTAGGAACTGATCTGCTTGACCTTCATACGTCGAATTCGACGGGAGAGTCGAGAGTCGAGATATATATATATATATATATATTACCAAGATAAAATGCTCAAGAGTAAATCAAGGTAGAGGATTACTGAATGAGATGAGTGATATGAATATAAGCAACATGTTGCATTGTTCGGATTGTTGTCCTCATATTTCTTGCCAATTTCACATATGGAGGGTCTTTACTCGGAAGCGGTGTCTGTAGTGCGGAACCACTTTTGAAGGTCGTCCTGATGCTATATGGACCATAGATCTTTGTTTTTTTTTCGATAATCACATTAGGTAGGCAAACCGAAGCTGTTTTCTGAGTGTTGGAGTCCTCATACCCTTCTATCCCACTTTGTCGTAGCTGCTGCCATGTATCCAGAGTATGTTGTAAGGTACTGCGTATACTGACCATTTCTTGTTCATATGTGTCTGGGTCGACATTTATATCTTTTCCTCGAGTTTTAAGCAGCGGACGATCCCTTTCTTTACACTGTATCGGTGGTGGGGGTTGAAGTTGAGGTACTGTCCGGTGAATATTGGCTTGCAGTACACGGATGTCTTGAACACATTCTCTGTTCGAGATATTAGTACACCCAGGAATGCTAGTTTTGTTGTTTTCTCTCTCCATTGTGAATTGTATCGATGATCTTATCGAGTTCACATAGTCCAGTAGCAGCTGCATCTATTCCAGGTGTGGCCAGAGTATGAAGGTGTCATCTACGTATCTCAGACATAGAGTTGATTTTAGTGATGTGGATTCTAATGCCACTTCTTCGAAGTATTCCATGTATATGTTTGACATTGCTGTTGATAATGGCAAGCGCATTGATAAACCTTCATCTTGTCGATATATGTCCGATTCCATTCCGAAGTGTGTACAGAAAGTCAGCATTTCCATCAGGTTATCTATTGGTATACTGATCTGTTCTCCTTTGGATGAGTCAGAGGCTACTCTGTCCTTGACTACTGACAGTACCTCTTTCGAGGGTACCTTGGTGAACAAACTCACCACGTCCAGGCTTAACATCTGGTTGGATTGAATGGGATCAATTTTGATTATTTCCACAAAGTGGACAGAGTTTCGGACATACGAAGGCAACTTTCCTCTTAACAGTTCAATTATATTTACAAGGAAAGCGATCCAGATAGTGGCACACGGAGCCTTGGCATCTAACAATTGGCCTGAGCGGGGTACCGATTTGTGAATTTTGGGAGACCGTATATGTGAGATAGGTTGATATAACGTTGCGACAACAGCTTGTATGCCTTATGTGGGAAGCTGTCCGAGTTCACGATTAGGATCTGCAACTGATTTTGTTCTGTTTTCATTGTCGGATCTTTCTTTACTGTAGCTACCAATGAAGTCTTCCAGTTTTTGTGTATATCCCGTTTTTTTCATCACTACAGTCGCATTGGCTTGGTCAGCTGGTAGTATGATGATGTTTTCATTCCTCTGTAGGGTTCTAATTGCCAGCCTCTCCCGGCTACTGCACTAGTAAACAAAAACATGAACAGTTAAAGGGAGATAAATGAGATCCGGAAAAGTCATGGCACGTGGACCTAGAAAAATCTAACCCGGTGGACGAAATAAATGTTTCGGTTCGAAATTCCAATAACCTGATTAAATTCGAAGCGTACAACGGCCGAAATGCCGTCAAAGATGAGCACAACAATGTAAATAGTGTAAACTGATCTGTTTTATCATGATCAGAAGGAAAATCAGCTGCAAGTTTCCGAACATATATACACCCTTGCATCAGATTTTCATCACGCCTCGACATTATTGTCTTAACTGTCGATTAGTTGTCCTACGGCCATCGTCTGCGATGGGCGTTACACCAAGAAAGCGTACGAAAATTTTAACGCTGCACGAACGCACTGGCAAGCCTTACAATGAGCAAATCAAAGTAAAATAGATTGGCCCAGAAACTCTTCTGATTTAAATCCAATCGAAAATCTGGTCAATCTGCAAGAAACGCCTTCTTGGAGTGGACATACGAAGTACTAACATGTGCACTGGGTCATATTTAATTGGAAAAATATGAAAAATGTGTAAAAATTCGTTTTGTTTCAATTAATTTGCACAAGGTTGTAGTTATAGAGCTGCTTCCATAAACTACGAAGTCTTCTTTTCTTTTTAATCTATTCACCTCAAGAAAGGTGATGATGTCACCAGGATGCAAGGTTCTACTGGGAGTTAAGAGAATGAAAAAAAAATGTCCAGAAATTCAATCCTGGCCAAGAAACAAGGGATAAATCTCTACTCCTCTTCAAAAGACCGGAAGTTGTTTAATATTGATCTGAATATATTCTAAATCAGATCTGTAATAAATGCTGAAAGAAGGTAGGATCTAGGAGAAAAAAAAACTTTGGGGAGACCTGCCTTATTCGTATGGCGCCAAAGAACGTTCATATCTCGCTGAAACAACTGTTTCCGTATGTTCACCTGTATTAAGCAATGACGAATCTGGTGAGTACCTAGATGAGTGACCCTTCGCAATACTTTGTATTGTAAGCTTAGAAGTGTGGGTGGTGTAATGTATAATGCCACGGGATTGTTAATCGGAGAGCTGAGTTCTAATTCCAGTCGCGATCGTTGTAGTCAGTGAAGTGCAAATACACTTGAAAAAGGTATGAGTCCACCTCGTCTCCCCTCCAGCTGTGGAATGATTAGCTAAACTTGTATCACTAAATCATTATTATCTAAAATAATATTATTAAACACTAAAAATATATATTCTGGTATTAAATAATTCGCAAAGGGTTGATAAGCCGTAAAAAACGAATCAAACAATCAATGAGAAGACTATCTCCTTAGACCTACTCGAGAGAAAGGTTTTCATACTTGCGCAGATTCTTCCAAAAAGGCAACAGATGGAAAGTTTGTATGACAACACGTTATTGCACAACTTATCTGATACCCAATTCTATAGTACTAGCCAATCCCTATAGCAGACGCTTGCTCAGGTGCATTTGTTTATATTCAACACCCAGAGAAACCACATGTGGTTTATACTGTAACTATACTGAACAGACCTTTGTTACAGTT